GGAAGCTTCTGGGGCGGGGCCCAGTGCAGCCAGGCCACGCGTAGCAGGCAGGCCACTTCCATTTAGGAATGTGTCTGCCCCCGCATTCGGCATTCGGGCACTGGCTGCATGGCGCGCAAGCGCTGCTGCGCTAATCGCTGGCCAGGCCCACGCGCTCACGGGCGAGCAAGGGAAGCAGGCAGCCATAGCCGAGCTGCGCTGCGCTGAGCTGGATAGGGTGCATGGTGGTCCTTGGGTGCACGTGGCATCTGTGAGTGGCGGATCAAGGTTTAGTGATATGAGAGACATACCTGGTGCTTGAGGCGAATGGCATTGGCCGAGATCTGCTCGTACTTCGGGGAGCTGTTGACGTCACCAGTGGCATTGTAGATAGGCTAAATAGGATCTGCCACTTGTGATCTGGGCACAGAGCGCCAGATAGGATGTTGACATTGGTTCTTTGTTGATGATGAGGAGACTATTCCGACATTGTCACTTGTGAGCTTTTGCTGTGCTCTTATTTGGTGGAACTCGTGTTGCAATTCTGCTTTTGGTTCGAGGTCACGACTATCTGGTCTCATGTGTATGATGCTGCTTGGTTTCTGAAGTTTGCTATCGCTCATTTTCCTTGCAGTTTCCTGACTCCTGAGTGTTGTGGCCTTTGCTTGCTTCCAGGATGGCCGGGTCGCTGGATGCAAATTTGAACCGGCTCATCAACAGCAAACTCTGCCTGGATTTTCTTCGTCAGCATCTGAAGCCTCCCGGTAATTGACAAAATGCAAAAAAAAAAAACAAACTCAGTATCTCCTCAGCAAGGTCCTAGAAACACTAATAATGGGCCTCACTCCACTACTCTCGAAATGTGCAAAACGAGACTGAATCTTCTGCTTGAGCATGGAAAGGTACATCGCCATATTTTTTGTCTGTTTTGCATGTCCAGAGTAGTGGAGCGATACCTCTCTTGGTTGTTCAGATAAGATAAAGTGTAGTACTTGTCCTGATATACTTTTTTTTTTTTTTTTTTTTTTTTTTTCAAGAAAAACAGGGCCTTATGGTTTTGGCTCCTATTCTGGGGAGCGTCAGTCCGGTTCCTATTCCACCGGCAAGTCAGAGTATACATTAATTTGACAATCACACACGCTTCCTTCCGTTTGGCCGAAGGACCCCTGAACAGCATTGATTGCTCCTCCTTGGCGGAGGATTGACTGTCAGCTTGCCATGTCCCTCTCTTCCCTCTCAGATCTGGGGGCCAGATCTGCCAAATAGTGCAATGCCACCTAGAAAGAGTTCATCCTTCGTCCCTGCTGGCCTGTGTCCTCCCCACTCATCTGCCCTGTCCGTGAGGCGTGATATCCCCTGTCCCACTTTATCTGTCCCCCCTTTTTTGAAACATTGCTAAAGCCCTAAACCCTAATCCCTCCGTCTGTGTACTCCTACTCGAGGATCCCTTTGACTCAGCCATTTCCCCTTGTTCTTGGGCTTTTGGTGCCATCCGTCCTTTTCCATGCTATCCATCCCTAGCTGTAGTGTTTTAGGCTTGTCAAATTCCCGTGAACTTCTGGTCCGGATGTGTTTTGCCCGTCCGCAGTTATCTGTTGTCGCTAGCCTCTTCCTGAGTTTGAAATGTGTCAGCCGTTCCAGCAATTGCAGCCATCTCGTGTTCAAGAAGTGATTGATTCAACTGCCGTTAACTGTTGTTGTAAGCTCCTCTTTGGCACTGAGTTGTGCCATTCTTTTCCAGGAGATACAGTCCTCTCGTGTCTCTGCAATCTTGCTGTTTAACAACCAATTCTTGTGAAGCCTCAGTCTCTCTTTCTTTCGTTTTCCCCTTCTTCTGTCCAGTCTTGCTTGACCCCCACGCTCTCTCCCGTTATGATTGGGAGGTTCGAGTTGACGACCTTGATTGCTTCCTTGAGTAAGGATATACTATCTCTCACCCCTGCCTGAGTTATCATATTTGAACTTTGTCCGCTCCTCTGTCTGTTCCCAGTTCTGCTCCTCTCAGCTGTGAAGCTGTCGGATTGGTGTGCTACACCCGAGTGTTCTGGGGTGACACTAAGTTTCTTGGGTTTCCTCTGAAACGGCTTAGCCTGACCGTTTGCAGTGCCTGCGTTGGACCTTGATGACTTGGTAACTGGAGCGCATGTCTTTTCCCTCCTCCTTTCAAGCTGTACCCTGCTCTCCAACGTATGTGGGGCTGCTCCATCCTTGCCTCCACGCTCTTGTCTATTAGTGATAATTCAATATTTTGCTGTCACCTTTAGGTTCTCTCCTTGGAGCCTCCTGGTTTTCGTTAATTCTGTAGTGTCCTGTCTTGCAGGTAGACCTCGGCGCCTCCTTTTTAATCACACCCTCCCTTGCCTTGTCCATTACTGTCCGCGTAGTCTGGCTTCTCATCTTTGTATCTGACTTGTGCCGATCCTTCCTCTTTGTGGCCGAGGCTTTTCAGTTCATCCTCCCTAGTCCCTGCCGGCCATTTCTTGGAGGTTTTCCTTTGTTCATCCTCTGCTGCACTTCCTTCTCGGGACTGGCTCGCTCCATTTTGTGCTCTTTTGCAGAACTCTCTGCTTGAGTGAGGATCTTTGTCTCCGCTATAACCTTTCCCTTGGGAGAACAAGGCCTTCAAAAGTCTTGGGCCAGCGTACTTTCTTGGGTGAACACAGCTTCCGGTTATCTTCCCTGGAGGCTGGATGAGAAACAGAAGGAGAGCATTGGGATAGGGTGGGGAGGGATCTGGTTGTTAGGGGATATGGGCTAGACCGTGTTGGGCAAAATAAGTGTGCTCCAAATCAGGAAAACGGCTGACGGAGAGTGAGTCCTACTGGACTGAGGACCTATTTGGAAAGGACTTACTTGTTGTGGTTTGAGTGCTACAGCGAGTCTGGGGATACGGGGACGTGGTGGCTGGGTGGATGTTAGACAGTCTTTCCTTGTTGTTAGTCCCAATTTGTGAAGAGTAGGGTACCACCTTCTATTTTTGCAATTTTGTCCCCTAAAAGCCGTGCTTTTTTGAATCTTTTCAGACTTAACTATTTTTTGTCTGGTTGTATTATTTTCTGTTGTCCCTTTTGCTCTTTACTCCATTGAGCTCTTGTTTCCGTTTGTATTATGCTTTTTATTTCCGCACATTTTTCTTCTATGCGTGGCAATTGACCTTCTAAGGTACCTTTATTCTTGCCTTCCATATTGCCCAGAGCGCTGCTCTCCTCCATAAATCTGCCACTACCGCTGTTCCTTCTTCTAGATCTTCACTTTCCAGTCTTCCCGCTAGCAGGTAAAACGAACTGCTGGGAAGTTCTTGGTTCGTTAGTTTGCCCCAGAGATTTTTTGTTCCACTCCACACTTCTTGTGCTTGCTGGCAGGATATTAAACAGTGGACCAGAGTCATATCAGTTGTTCCCCATCTTTTAGTAATAAAATGGTTTGTTGAACTAGTTTTGACTGATGTTTTCGCAGTTTTGAAAAGCGAAATTCGTCACAAACAGTTTCGCGAAAACAAGCCTCTAGCAAGGCCTGTAAATGAATGGGAGAATTGACTTGAAAAGTTGCACAGTCTGCATAATGACATTTGTTCAATTTTGTTGTTGGGAATTCTCCTGTTTTCTCCTTTTGACCAACCATTGGTTGACTGGCACTGCCCAGTAAAGTATGAGCCGCTGCAGACTTCTGATTCTTCCCGGTCTTCTGTTTGTGTACTGACTCCATGGGATTTTATTCGTCCAGCCTGCGTTTTCACTCAGGTTTTTTTCCACCTTTCTGAGATTACTGGGAGCGGATCCTTTGTGTGATTGCCTAGTTTGTAGCCCGTTTTAACTTCGTAATCATATATTGGGGTGAGCTTTTTGGCTCTCCCCGAGTTGCTGGGTACCATCCATCCCCATTTCGCTGGATCCACTTCCAGGTCTTTGATGTCTAGCTCTGGTCTGTATAGCCTAACTCCGTTTAGATCTGATTGGATGGAACGGTTTTGTCAGACCCTTTTTGGGTGTGCATGATCGTACTCTTCTGAGTGTGTTGAGATTTTGTGTTGTCCTTGGTTCTGTTAGCCTTACTGGTATTACCCAAGATTTATGCACTTCTGCTAGTTCGTACGCAGCGAAGTCTGCCTTACCTTCTTCTGCATCTAACATTTGGATCAGCTTATAAGCGATGGTTGGGGGGTCTGATTCACTTTTTGTGGCCCCGTCCCCCACTGTCCACTTGTTTTTGCGCCTCAGGAGGAGAACCCATTTCAGTGGGACACTTTCGAGTAGCTTCCCTAACTGATCCTTCAGTTTGTGAATCCCTTTGAGTTTAGTTCCGAGGTCTTGCGCTGTCAACCATCTATTTTCCTCCGTGTTCCATAGATGTTCTATTTTCCACACTCCCTTGCTCATCCATTTCCTCCAATGCTTTCCTTTGGTGTTTGAGGACCACGGTTTGTGGTTGTGATCCGTCAACAAGGGGTTCCCAAATAGCGGCTGCCTCAGAACTTCCTCTCTTATTTTGGGTGTTCTTATCTTTTGCGGTAAATAAGTCCTCCAGTGTTTTATTAGTGTGGCCCAGTGCTCGCTTGTGGGGTCTTTGTCCTTTGCCGGTCTCCCCCTTCCTTCCTTCTTGGGTTCCATGAGGGGTTAAGGATCCAATGGTAGCCTTCTATGGAGGGGTCAACTTTGAAGGGTACTAAGTTACGGATCTGGTTAAGGGGCATTTCGTGCCAAGGTAGCTCTCTATTGAAAAGGAGTTTTATTACCCACTTGTGCTGAAGTGCTTGAAATTGTACAGCCGGGTTCAATAGTCCTAACCCTCCTTGAAGTTTGGGTCTGGTGATATATTTCCAGGCCACTTTGGAGATGTAGTGTTCGTTTTCAGCTTTCCTAGTCCAAAGATAGGAACCTAGCTTCTTTTTGAGACTTGCAAAAAAGCTTGCTGGCGGGTTCCAGAGAGAAGCCACATACCATCCTGTGGATAGGATTGTGTTGAGAACTAACACTCTTCCCATGAGTGATATGGTCGTTGCTTGCCACCCTGCAAGTTTGTTTGTCATTTTGAGGAGAAGGCTAGTGCCTGAGGTATTGTTGGTTCCTTCAGCCAATATTTGGATCCCCAGAAAACGTATCGGTTGTTGTGCGTCTAGCCATTGGAGCCCTTGTGTGGCCTGAGTTTGTTGGGGGGGATGGGAAGGTGCGAACCACCATCCTATTGTCTTGTTCTAGTTGATTTTCATTTCTGCTGCCAGTTGGAAGGCTTGCATTGCTCTTGTGAGTGCTTGGAATGAAGAGTCGGCTGCTCTGATCAGCACGGTCAGGTCATCGGTGAAGAGTACGGCGGTGGGAATGGCAAGTGACCTTCCATCTTGTTGGACAACGAGTCTTTCTATGGATGGGTCCTTGCGGAGGTAGGCTGCTATTGCTTCCATCACGAAAAGGAAAATTGGCGCTGCGAGTGGATCTCCTTGTCTTACCGATCTGGTCATTTTGTATTTCTCTGAGAGGTGTCCTTTGACTTGTACCATTCCTCTGGCGTCTCCGTATAGTACTCTTACCCATCTTCTGAAGTTTGGCCCTACTCCCATTTTTTCCATGCTCTGTTGAAGGAAATCCCAGTTTACCTGATCATAGGTTTTTTCGAAGTCAAAGAATAGTATGGTTGCTTCCACCCTTTTATCCTTTATGATCTTGGTGGCCTCGTTTAGTGTCACTACATCATCTAATATGTATCTTCCTGGTATGAATCATGTTTGGTCTATGTGGAAACATTTGTCCGTAACGTTCCTGATTCTATT